TCAGTTTAAATGCATGCAATTTCTGATTACTGTTTGCAACATTTCATTGTCCTTTTGCGATTTTGTTGTGTTTAATGATCTCCCTTTCTCATAAACAAGGCTATGCTCAAGTGGCGCTTTATTTTCTTAATTTTTTGTTGGCATGGCCATCCTAACGATCTCATTAATTCCTTTAATATTTATGGAATTTTGAAATTGTTTGCTACTGATTTCACTGAAGAGATTATATAAATCATCAAATTATTTCAGCTTAAACAGATTAGTCATCATTGTGTTCCATTTTTGGAATCAGAATGTACTGGTAGTGCTGTCCAAAAGAACTATTTAGATTTGTTCATTATAATGGCTGCAATAGGAGGTAATCATGTCGATTGCTTGTAATCCGGGTCCCGGCTTATCTGATAGCTTTGCGGTTCAATTGCTTCTTTCTCTCCTTCAACTCTACTCAAAATAGCTTTTGCTATTTTTAAGGGCTTCTCTTATTTCCCATCTCCACATGGTGTGGATTTGAGTTTCTAAAGGCTGCCTTTCCCTTGGCCTGTATGTCACAGAGAGACAAACAAACTATTCCACCAAATCCTGCTCTGGATATGCCTGCCATACATTTTTAGTTTAAATCTTAAATGTGATCACTGGAGAGTTCATTTTGGAATTTCAATTTTTTTTCCCCAACAAATAGAGTGAAGTCTATAAATTTAATCAGCCTGCAATTTCTACTAAAAAAGAATGAGCAAAAGAGGCACGTTAGACTAGAATGCTGTATTTATTTTTTTGGTTAATAAAATTTTGTCGAAACTGAAGTTCAAAATTTTTCAAAACCTGCAAATTCTAACTAAAATAACAAAAAGAAAATGAAGCACTCTCAGGATCACAACCATGGGAATTCCATTTCATGCATTCATTGTAGATCTCTCATGTTCATTGTTCATTTCACTGCGTTTCTTATTTACGCAATTTATCGTTCTTCTATTCATGAAAAGAAATTATCAAGCTAGTAAAGTTGGAGATGTTAATTTGAACTTTTATGGATACAGGGAGCTCAATCACCAAAGGAGGACAGGAAATACATATAACTAAAGAAATGGCTCTGACCACTCTATGTCTGATCAGTAGCATCCTTACCCTATGGATCTCTCCCATTAATGCCCAATCCCCACCAGCTCCACTTCTCTCTCCCTCTCCTTCACCTGCCCCAGCTCCTGGCCCTCACCTTGTCAATCTCACCGATCTCCTCTCCGTCGCAGGCCCCTTTCATACCTTCCTCAACTACCTCCTTCAAACCAATGTCATACAAACATTCCAAAACCAAGCCAACAACACCAATCAAGGCATCACCATCTTCGTTCCCAGTGATTCAGCTTTCGCAGACCTCCAAAAGCCCTCCCTCACAAACCTTTCCGAAGACCAGCTCAAGTCCCTCCTCCTCTACCACGCATTCCCGAATTACTATTCCCTATCTGATTTTCAAAAGCTCAGCAGCAAGAATCCTGTGAGTACATTTGCTGGAGGGCAATACACGCTGAACGTCACCGACACAAGCGGGCTCATACAAGTTGGTTCAGACTGGTCCAACCCCAAAATCAGCAGCAGCGTCTACTCTACTTATCCGGTATCAGTTTATGAGGTGAACAATGTTCTACTTCCGAAGGCAATTGTTACTACGGCGCCAGCATACGCACCAGCTCCAGCTCCTGCACCCGATCACAGCCCAAATTTGGATTTGGCACCTACGAGTGGAAAGGGGAAAGGTGAAGCTCCCAAATCTTCGGAACCAAATACGGACGATTCTTCTTCTCCTGGCATTG